GTCTGCCGCCCGCCGCCCGGGGACCCGGCGAGGGGCGGGGGCAGCCCCGAACGGGCCCCCTTCCTCCCCTGCTCCCGTCTCACGCTTCCCGGAAAGTTTGTCCCTTTGCACTCTTCAGAGCCACTCCGGGAGCCCTGCTGCGACGAGGTGAGAGCTGGGGAAGAGGGGGGTGAGGGAGGGGACGCCCGCGGAGGAATGTGCCCGGCTGGGGGGCGGGGAGCCGGGGTCCAGGTTTGCAGGACCCGGCGGGGGCCGGCGGGCCGCGAGAGCCAGGATCATGTGCTGTTTGTCCCGCTGAGGCGCAGAGAGGTGCCAGGCCCCGGGCGGCCGTCGATTGGCTGGACGGGAGGACAGGGTCCGCATGGCTTCCCAGAAAGGCCGGGTCGCGGGCCTGTGTGAGAACTGCTGGGCGGGCAAGGTGCAGGTGGCCAGAGGCCTCCTTTTGGGTGGGTCGGCCTTACCCCAAGTGTGATTCCTGCCTGTACGCCAGTGCTCCTTTACGCTGTACCGGTAGACCTCTATACGTATTACCTTGCTATACCCCAGCTCTGCCACCCCATTCCCCACCCATTAGCCGCTATGGCATCACCATTGCGTGTCCCCACCAGTGTCCCTTCTCTCTCTTGGTCAGGGTCTGGGGGTCACGGTTGTTCTTCCTGAGAAAGCCTCTGATTTCAGCTACTCCCTTCCTGTCCAGGGACAGACCAGCCCTCTCACTCCCCCGCCCTGGCCAGGAAAGCTGGTGAGGTGAGACCCAGCAAGACAGGGAGTTGAGGTCCTTTGGGACCACAGAAGGGGGCCCAGCATCCCTGATCTCTCTTCACAACTCTCCACCCTGCTGTCTGTGGGTGTGGGCTGCTCAGCCTCTTCTCCTAGGGTGTGGGCACCTGATCACCCACATTCCTTGGCTCCAGCCTGGCACCTTCCCTAGGGCAGTGGACGCCATAGCACCAGCCCCAGGCTAGGACTGGAACCCGCCTGCTTCCTTTCCCTTCTCTCCCTTTTCTGGCAGACAGACCCCAGTGCTACCTTCCCCTCCCCATAAAGACAGGTATTCTGGCTCCCTCAACAGAGGAGGTCTGGGGTTGATGTATGCAGGATGACCCCACCCTCCCCTGCCCATTGTCCTGGATCCTGAGGAGGAAGTGCTGGGGGCTGGGCAAGGGGTTTGGGGCTACAGGCCTGCCCTGTGGATCCCAGTCCTGGCCTGTACCTCCAGCCCTTGGACTTTGCCCATTGGCAATACTTGCTTCTGTGGAGGTTGTGGGCCCTAGGTGGGAGCTAGTTGCTACTTCTCCCTGGCTGACCCTGAGGGGGAATTTTAGGGTGGGTTTTATGTTTGGAATTTTCCCTCCTCTTGTTTTTCTTCTGGGCTCCCAGTTTGTGCTCTTGCCCAGGAGCTCTCCTCCCTATCTGTTTCTGTGTTTGCTAGCCTCTGAATCTCTCCCTCCTTACTCCCATTATTTCCTTCATAGCATGACCTCTCTTGTGTCTCCTTTTCTTGGTGTCTGTGATATTCTGCCCCTTCTCTCCCCTCTTTCACCACCTTCAGTGTGTCTGCCCATG